CCCCCTCGCCCAGCCGGGGGCAAGTGGGGACCAACGGGACCCCCTCTGCCATCGCACCTGGGGACAGTGGGGACACATGGGACCCACTCCGCCATCACACCCTGGGACCCAGTCCTGCCTGCCACATCCCCACCCTGGGCGCAGGGTGCGACAAGGGCTGGGGGGCCGCAGGCAGCTGCTGGGACCCCAGGTGACCGTCCCCACCGGTGGGCCAGCAGCAGGATCCGGAGGCTGGCAGCAGCACAGACCAGGCAGAGAGGAGGGCGATGTCCCCAGTTCGTCCCCAGTCCCAGGGCCCCACACGTGTGCAGGCCTGTACACGTGTGTGCGTACATCCATGCGTGTGTGTGCAGCCATGCGCACACGTACATGCAGATGTGTGCATGTGTGTGCACAGCGTGTGTGTGTACACATGTCTCTGCGTGCACAGGCACACACACATGTGTACACGTGTGCATGCAGCCATGTACACTCATATGCACGCATGTCCAGGCACACATGTTTGTGTGCACGTGTGTACGCTTCCATGTACACATGCATGCACACATTTATGCGTGTGCAGACACACACGAGCATGTGCATGTGTGTGTGTAGCTATGTACACCCATGTGCGTGCACACGCGTGTGCTGCGGGTGTGCCCCCATCTGTGCAGCTGTGCCTGTGCCCACGCCAGCCCGTGCAGGGGTTCACCCCGCACCCAGGTCCCAGGCCAGGGGTGCAGGTCCCAGTTTGGAGTCTGGGTGCTGGACTGGGGTCTGAGTCCCACGTGGGGGTCCAGGTTCCCAGATGGAGTCCAGGTGGGGTCCTGGGCTGGGGTCTGGGCCCTGGGTGGGGGTCTGGGTGCTGGGTAGGGGTCCAGGTTCCCAGATGGGGTCCAAGTGGGGATCTGGGTCCCAGACTGGGGTCTGGGTTCTGGGTGGGGGTCTGGGTGCTGGGCTGGGGTCTGGGTCCTGGGTGGGGGGGCTGGGTCCTGGGTTGGGATCTGGGTCCTGGACTGGGATCTGTGTCCTGGGCTGGGGTCTGGGTCCCTGCTCACGCCCAGGTCCCAACCCCTCCCTGCAGCTCGAGGCTGTGCAGGACGCAGTCCAGGGTCCCCAAGCCCCCAGGGGAGGGTCCCCAGCGCCGGCACTCACAGCTCTGCCCGGAGCGAGTGCACCCAAAGCCCCCACCCCTGCCTGTGCCTGTGCCTGTGCCCACGCGAGCCCGTGCAGGGATTCACCCCAAACCCCTGCACCTTCACCCACACCCACCCTTCCCACGGCCCCGGCTTGCTGCGAGCCGATGGGGAGCGGACGGGTGG